CAGCCAGGTCACCACAATCCGTTGAACCGAGGACACAAAGCACAAGAGGGACACCAGTGGGGGAGCTATTCCCACCACTACCCAGCTCAGGTAAGCCTGACTCGAAGCTCATGGATAACTTGAAGTGTACTGATGTGGCAAAATTAGACCCAACAACAGCAGGCGGGGTACTATTACCAACCTCACTACCTGCCCAATCTTCCAGCCCCAGTAGCTCAATACCCTCCAGCGCCATCCCCCGGGCACAACCCCCAACCTCAGTACCCTCCACACCCTTCCCAGGTGTATCGACACCAACAACCGGCTCAGGGTTCGAGCAACCAACCCATGCCACCGCCTCCTTCTCCGCAACCGTCGTACCAGCAGACCCGCGAAGCCGAGGAAGCCCAACTCCGTCAGGCGATCATCGGCCTCAAGCAGAACCTGGACGAAGCTCGCGTTGCGAACAACAACGCGAACTTTCGCCGGATCCTAGGTATGGCCAAGGAAGCCCACAAGGAACTCAAAGAGTTCCTTGGGGCCGTCGTCACCGAGCCAAAGTGGAACAGGTAGCCAGCTACAACCCTTACCATCTGAACCCCCGTACGATGGAACCGTACGAGAATCCACGAGCAGCCGGTCCATCCAGCCAACGACGCAAGAGAGCTCGCGACGACGAGATCGATGCATTAGCGGAGAACGCATCCAACTTACTGGACATGATCTTAGTGGTGAAACGGATGAAACAAGACGATTCCGACCCAGACCCGAAGGGAAAAGGGAAGGAGAGGGAGCGAGATCAGTAAGTATTTTACCTCCTCCCAGTTCTGCTTTTCACAATCATCCATCAGTATTGTATTCTGATACTCCTTTTACTGGTCCCCCTTTAGAGAGTGATCCCTCCAACTTACTATCTCCTTCAGTAGAATCTATAAAGATGGAAGAAGTCGAGATAGGACAGGTAAACTATCAAGGGCTGTTCAACCAGCCGCATTCAGTTTCCAATTTAAATTCCAAAGTTTCATCTTCTTCAGTTTCTGTTTCAACTTCTCATTTAGACCTAGATGACCTTATTCGACGAAAGAGTTATGCAATTTATGAGAAAGTTGAACATTTGAATCCAACTATAAATTTGATAAAAAATCAATGTGAGATAAGTGAGCAAGTGAGACTAAAAGAATTTCAATTAACTTGTCAATTACATAAATCATCTTATGATGATATTATGAGTAAATTTATAGAACTGAGAGAACAAATAACAGAAGTTAAGAAACTTTGTAGTGAGCTTGATATCAAAAGATATCATACAGAAGTCCAAGATGACTTAATCAACAAATTTTCAGAATTAAAAACACAACTTGTTGAAGTTAAAGAACAAATAAGTTCATCTCAAACTGAAGAGAGACCTAAAAATAAAGGGAAAGAAAGGCAACAAGTACCTTCTTCTGAAAATAAAGACAACAGTGCATCAACTTCTAATACAAGTCAAGATGTTGCACCAGGAGAAAAAGAAATTCAGAACTCTGAAGTTACTCCAATGTACAGCTTGAATAAAACCCAAGCTCTAGTATTACAAATTAGAGAAACTTTGAATAAGAGACATGAAGAAGCAACTCTAACAGCTTCTCAACAAAACATGATCAAACAAATAACCAACCTAGCCAGTCAAATTGCCACAAGGATTTCAGACAATGAGAAGAAGAGCTCATTAAAATTTAGCAATTATGAAAAGAACTTCCAAGACGTAATCACTAAGATATCTCAAAATAGAAATGAAGATAAAGAAAGTATCAGAGAAATAAGTGATGCACTTGTAAGTGATTTAGCAGAAACAAAAATTGTGACCAAACAACTAGATGTCAAATTAGACAAACAATTGAAACTACCAATCAAAGACACATACAATAAA